GAATGGCATTACGAATAGTCGAATGTTGGGTGTTGAATGGAATGATGTCATGTAAAATGGTACTGTGTATAGCAGAATGGCATAACGAATAGTCGAATGTTGGGTTGTGGAATGGAATGATGTCTTGTGAAATGCCATCATTAATTTTGGCATGGATTCAACGCCATATACCGCGCATGTACGTAAGTGGTCAATATTATGAACATTGTCGTCCCATGTTATGGTACGTCGCATTATATCAGTCCCACTGATAATAAATAAATCGTCCCATGTTATGGTACGTCGCATTATATCACTCCCACTGATTATAAAACAAGTAACCTATAGAATGCTGTGTGGGTAATATTTTTATATTGATTTTTGTTGCATTTGCAGCAAATAGTTACCAAACAATGAGAAATCTATAGGATTGGATATACCTCTCAGCTGGCTTCACATGCATAGTTCAAGACTGCCTAACCGGTGCTTATACCAGGATTTAGTTGCAGCACTGTGGTCTGTGGTTACAGCTTCATTTTCCTAGTAATCACAAGAAATTGACATTACAATAGAAAATAAAAGACTGGCGCTCCCATACAATTAATAGCAAGTGAAATTCCTGGAATTGAAACATAGATTTTGAAGTCACTGGTGTAGGCATTGAATAACTTCAAGTTGGCATAAAGACGAGGTAGTTTATTTAACCAGTGCTGAACTAGAGGTTGAAATTATAATTAAGTTCGTTGTCATATAATTTGTTTATTTAAATTTCTCCTGAATTCAAATAGAATACACTGGTGAAAGGATGTTTTTGAGGTGTGGTTACATTGTGTTTGGAGTGGTAGGGTTGGGTGTCATATAATTTTTTCATTTTCAATTCTCATGAAATCACACAGAATTTCACTTAATTTATTTTTGTTGAAAAGTTTTCAAGCATACGGTGTGAATCAAATTTTCACTGTGCTGTGTCAAGTCTCAATAGAGTATGAGGGAAATGGCATTTTCACTGGAATTTATTTTAGCGGAAAAATGTTCACAGTGAAAGGAAGTATTCCACATTATTACATATATACTGCAGTTTATTTTGATTCGTCCCCGAAATCAAAATCGGTACTTCCACACCCCATATGCAAATGAGGTCTGAGAGCGAATAAAGTCGTCCGTTCAAGAGTAGCGTTTTTCGAAACATAGCAGAAATAAACAATATTTAGAAGTACGATACTTTACGTTTACGTTTGGGTACATGAATATATTTGCCGAGTGAAATGAAATTTGAACAACAGTAATGGTACTTCTAAGCAGTAACTTATTTTGACTAAAACTAATTTGCATATCACCCATGCAATGATGTTTTTGGTATTTTCACGGTCAATATGCAAATGAACATGGTATTGGCGATTCGCTCCACTTGGATTGCTCTTAAAATCACTTTAATTTGTGTGTGTGTGTGATTTCTAGTGTTTCACGTAT